CTGATTAACTTCATTTCTAAGTTTAGAATCATCATCATGATGCAATTCATAAATTCCTCTCTTCTTATCACTGTCATATAATTCAAAAGAGGCTTGATCTCTCAAATTTTCACTTAAATTCTCATAAAGATTGTAAATCTCATCAGGAGTTTTCTCCATAAAAGCTCCCCCACATATAGAATCAACCATATTTTTATGTTGTTCTAATAATCCATCATAAAAAATTCTATTGAGCTGCCACTTGGGTATAGCATGATGAGGACACTTTCTAAGTAAATCTTTGAATGTTTCCCATGTCTCATGTAAAGTTTCTCCTGGTCTTTGAGAAAAATTCCATATATGTTTTCTCATATTTTGAGTTTTTCCTAAGGGATAAAATTTTCGAAGAAAGGCCTGTTCTATATCTTTCCAGCTAGTTAATTCTCTATCTAATGTGGATAGCCAATGACTAGCTTTGTCCCTAAGTGTATGAGGGAATAATTTCATCTTAATAATTTCTGGTGTAACTTGAGGGAGATTAACTAAATCACAGACCATATGAAATTTTTCTAAGTGCTGATGAGGTTCCTCTAAAGGCAATCCATGAAAATTAGGGAGCATTTGAAAAATTCCTGAATTTATTTCGAATTTAACAGTGGGTGCTAATGGGACTCTAATATTGGATGCTCTTTGAAATGAATCAGGGATATAATGATTTTTCATGGCCATAGGATTGTTCTCAATTTGACCTGTACTTCCTTCAGGATCCATCAAAATCAATTTTTCTTTCGGATTTTTATTTTTGAATGAAATAATGAAAGGATTTTCTAGCCTTGGATGCAAGGATCTTCTACCATGCATAAAAATCAATAAATTTGAGGGAAAAAGTTAGTAACTGTTACCCTCCTTCAGGATGCTCCAGTCCTTGCCGTGCTTCTTTTCGTTCCCTTTTTCTAATAAAAATCAGCAAAAAGAAAATAAAACAAGAGTTTAATTTTTTTTTGTGTACTCTAAGAGAAAAACAGAAAAATACTAAATATTATGCAATACATCCCCGGCAACAGCACCAAAATTTGACGTGACTCAGTCGGTGTATATTAAATCACCCAAATATAAAATTTATAAAACTAGAAAATACGAATTTTTGGATATTTAGAAGTATTTCTAAATAAATATATCAATTATAATTCAATAAAACTTCCAAAAATAGCGGTAACTTTCCAGGTCGATCACAGGGATGTAATATAATATCTGGTAATTATTCAGAATTTTTCTCAATGAATACGATTTTCTATGAATTTTATATTAGGAAATAAAAAGGAAATATATTTAAAATTCACGAAAAAAAAAGGGAAATAAGGACGCAGACGTCAAGATGACGTCAGCGCCCGGCCAACGCGAATCGGGCGGAAACAGAGTTCCGCCCGGCGATTCTTGCGTAAGCGATTACAGACGATTTAATTAATCAAATTAAGATCTATAAAAGCCGAAAGAATCGTAATTGAACAAAGTATATTTTGGTAACTTAAAAACACAAAAATTATCACTAAATGAAGCGTAAAGTAAATTGAAAGCAGGAAAATAGAGTTCCGGCGTCGCGACGGCGATGCGTCGGCGATGTACCGGAATCCTGAGCGTTCGGGAGGATCGTCGTGCAGTGTCCACGACCTCGAAGGCTCTCCTTGGAGAAAGACAACGTGGGCAATCTCTAGATCTTCTCGCGAAGTCTAGAGATCAATGAAGTGGGTCGTCGAATCGTCTCCGGCGGCTGTCACTCGGTGGAGCGGAAAAACAGCGACTTTGCGGCTCTCCGGTGGCTGTCACCCGACGGAGAGGAGCTGGATGGAAGTGGGGCGCGTGTCAGGGAGCTTTATCCTCAGGTCCGCGCAGCAAGAGGAGGCTCTTCATCGCATCTGGTACGCTCTCAAGAGGTGGCGACTCGTCTCCCGGCGGATCGTCCTCTTCCCGACGACGGCTTGTTCGTCGATCAATCGGAGATGATTTACTCGATGGATTTGCGATCCTTTTATCGCGAATCATTTAGCAATTTTAGTAGCAATGCTCCGCGAATCGCGTTGACGAGATTTTCGCCGATGATCCAGTGATTCTGGTTGCTTAATCTTTCACCGGCGATCTGCAGCAAAGTCGCGATAATTAGATAAAAATATATGAATTTTGACTCTGGGAGGATTCAAACCCGCGCCGGTTGTCCGCCCCTTCTGAGGAAGGTGTGACGCGGGTTTAGTCCCACATCGGTTGTGCGCCGATTTTTCAGGCGAATATATAGTAATGTTAGCTTTTTAAGCAAAGTCCCTTCTCTCGCATGTACGACCACTCCTTGCCCCACAGCCGGCTGGCCACCGGTGATGTGGAAGGGGAGTGGCGCACACGTGCCCCTATCAGTCCAAGCCACTCGAGCCCTTGCTCGCGGCTACTCCCCGACTGAGCTTCCGACCTGCTTGCGGGCCCAGCTGGTCGGCGGGTCTCCCCCATTTTGCAATATTTTAGTTTTATTTCTTTTTCTTCATTTATCTCAAAAGTAAGACTGTAAAAATCATATAAATTCGTATAAAATCACATAATTACCCAAAAAATCACATTAATCAACTGAAAACCACTTTTCACACTTTAACACAAATATAAGTCTATTTATCACAAGTTAAGGCTAAAACTATATTATTTACTTATTATTAACTCGTGATAATGAAGACTTATCAACGAGCCTCATCAGCATTTAGAAAAATTTCATATGGTCTGTGATTTAGTTAATCTCCCTCAAGTTACACCGGAAATTATTAAGATGAAATTATTTTCTCATACACTTAGGGAGAAAGCTAGCCATTGGTTATCCACATTAGATAGAGAATTAACTAACTAGAAAGACATAGAACATGCCTTTCTTCGAAAATTTTATCCCTTAAGAAAAATCCAAAATATGAGAAAACATATATGGAGTTTTTCTCAAAGACCAGGAGAAACTTTACATGAGACATGGGAAACATTCAAAGATTTACTTAGAAAGTGTCCTCATCATGCTATACCCAAGTGGCAGCTCAATAGAATTTTTTATGATGGATTATTAGAACAACATAGAAATATAGTTGATTCTATATGTGGAGGAGCTTTTATAGAGAAAACCCCTGATGAGATTTACAGTCTTTATGAGAATTTAAGTGAAAATTCTAGAGATCAAGCTTCTTTTGAATTATATGACAAGGATAAGAAGAGAGGAATTTATGAATTGCATCATGATGATGATTCTAAACTTAGAAATGAGGTTAATCAGATTAATCAAAGATTAAAAAAACTTGATTTACTTATTGACAATATTAGAAAACCTCTTAACCCTCAATTTAATTCAAATAGTACATGTCCTATGTATGGTGAGAATGATTATTCATAATTTCAATGTTATAATTTAGATCAATCATTTCACCCTAAGCAAGAACAAGTGCAAGTAGCTCACGGTTTTAATAGAAATACGGAACCTTTTTCAAATTCTTATAATCCTAATTGGAGGAATAATTTTTCATGGAGAGACCCAAATAATATTCAAAATCCAGAAGCACTTAGACCCAATTCAAACTCTGAATTTCATCCAAAACAAGAAAATAGATTTCAGAAAAATCAGCCCTCTCAAACCCAACCTGATACTATGCAAATGATGCAGCAAATGAGCCAAATGATGCAACAAACTATGAATCAAATGATGCAGCACCAGAAATAAATTATAGAGGCCCTTGGGAATAAGAGAGAAGAGGGACAGCTACCTAGTCAGCCCATAGAAAATCCAGGGAACCGCCCAACAATAGGATTTTAGCAAGGGGAGTCTAGTAGCATGAATCTAGGAAAAAACCCACGAAATGAAAATGTTAGGACAGTGAATGCATTAAGGAGTGATAAGATCTTACTTGATCCTTATCCCCAAACATTAGAAGAAAAAGAAAACGTGGACAACCCAAAACAAAATCAAATAGGAGTAGAAGAGGATTTTATAGATTCTACCAAGGAAATTTCGAAAGAGAGGACAACCGTTCCATTTCCTAAAGCTCTAGAGCCTAGACAAAGAAAGAAAAAGGAACACAATGAAGAAATAAAGAAAATTTTACAAGATGTGCAAATTAGTCTTCCTTTACTCACTACCATTGAACATATTCCTAAATATGCTAGAGTTTTGAAAGAAATGTGTACACCAAAAAGGGCACCTATAGTAGAAAAATTATCTATGCATGCTAGTGCATTATTATTAAATCAATTACCATATAAATTGAGAGATACAGGTGCCCGTTTAATGTCGTGTGATATTGGTGGATCCATTTTTCAGAATACATTACTTGGCACCGGTGCTAGTATTAATTTATTACTTGCAAGTATTTGTGAGAAATTTAATATTTCTGATCTTAAACCTTCTACTGTTACCTTATAATTTGCTGATAGATCCATAAAACATTCTAAAGGTATTTTAGAAAATATGATAGTAACAGTTAAAGGGTGTAAATTTCTAGCTGATTTTGTAGTGCTGGAAATGGATTTTAATGGATAGTTTTATGATACACCAATCATCCTAGGGAGACCATTTTTGCATATAGCAAAGATGAATATTGATTTTTCCACAAGTATTGCAAAAATTTCATGTGGAGATCAATTAGTAGAAATTAAAATTTTTGAGGTACCAAATGATCTTAAGAAATCATAAGTATATGATTGTCACTACCATAGATCTTCTAGAAGATTTTGATGATCCAGATGTTATTGATGACTGTGTGCTGGAAGAATTAGAAGAAATAGAGAATATAAATTTGGGAGAAAAGAAAGAGGAAGATCATCTGAATTTAGAGTTGAAACCTCTTCCCTCTAGTTTAAAATATGTGTTTTTGGAGGAAAATAATTCATTTCTTATTATTATTGCAGCTGATTTGAGTGATGAACAGGAAGAAGAATTATTAGATGTACTTCGAAAAAATAAGAAGGCTATGGGCTGGAAAATGGACGATCTAAGGGGCATTGATATGAGTGTATGCATGCATAGTATATATCTAGAGGAGGGGGCTAGAACTAGCAGGGAACCACAACGAAGATTAAATCCTAACATGATCGAAATTGTAAAAAAAGAAATTTTAAAGTGGCTGGCTGCTGATATTATTTATCCTATTTCAGATAGCAAATGGGTTAGTCCTACACAAGTAGTGCCAAAAAAATCAGGGATCACGGTTATAAAAAACAAAAATGGGGATGAAATACAAACAAGATTAACTACTAGTTGGAGGGTTTGCATTGATTATAGAAAATTAAATTTAGTTACTAGAAAAGATCATTTTCTCCTACCATTTACTGATCAAATTCTAGAAAAATTAGCTGGAAAAAACTTTTTTTGTTTTCTAGATGGATACTCTGGTTATAATCAAATTTATATAAACCCTTTAGATCAAGAAAAAACAACTTTCACTTGTCCATTTAGTACTTTTGCTTTTAAATGCATGCCTTTGGTCTGTGTAATGCTCCAGCCACATTTCAAAGATATATGCTGTCTATTTTTTCTGATATGATTGATGATTTTTATGGACGATTTTTTTGTTTTTGGTGAATCATTTGATGAATGCTTAAATCATTTACAGCATGTACTTGAGAAATGCATAGAGAAAAAATTCGTTTTGAGTTGGGAGAAATCACATTTTATGGTTAAAGAGGGAGTTGTGTTCGGTCATATTGTGAGTAAAAGGGGTTTAGAGGTGGATAGAGCAAAAATTGATATTATATCTAAAATGAAACCTCCAAATTCAATAAAACAGATTAGATCTTTCTTAGGTCATGCAGGTTATTACAGAAAATTTATTCAAGATTTTTCAAAAATTTCTAAACCTCTCACCATGCTATTATCTAAAGATGTGCCTTTTAATTTTGATGATAAATGTTTTGAGTCTTTTTCTGAAATAAAAAGATTACTTACTGAGGCACTCATTTTACAAGCTCCTGATTGGTCCTTTCCCTTTGAAATAATGTGTGATGCATCAAATTATGCAGTGGGGGCCGTTCTAGGACAAATAAAAGAGTCAAAACCCATAGTAATTTCATATGCTAGTAAAACTATATCCGATGCTCAATTAAATTATACCACGACTGAAAAAGAGTTGTTAGCTGTAGTATTTTCGTTAGAAAGGTTTAGATCATATATTTTGGGAGCTAAAATTATTATTTATACTAATCATGCAGCATTTAAATATCTGTTAAATAAGAAAGATGCAAAGCCACGTTTATTAAGATGGATTTTATTGTTGCAGGAATTTGACTTAGAAATAAAAGATAAAAAAGGTTTCGAGAATGTTGTTGCTGACCATCTTTCTAGATTAAGTGATACAGGAATAAATGCAGCACCTTTACAAGATGCATTTCCAGATGAACAATTGATGGCAGCTCAACATCAACCATCACCATGGTATGCACATATTGTTAATTTTCTGGTTTCTGGAAAAACTCCAGACCAGTGGGATAAGAATAGAAAACATCATTTCTTTTCTAAGATTAGAAATTATTTTTGGCATGATCCTGATTTATATTACTTGGGCAATGATCAAATTTTAAGGAGATGTGTTCCTGAAGAAGAATATCATAACATTATTAACATGTGCCATTCATCTAACTGTGGAGGACATTTCTCTGGACGAAAAATAGCTGCAAAAAATTTTCAGTGTGGTTTTTATTAGCCTACAATCATTAGAGATTCTATAGAATTTAGTAGAACATGTATTTCATGCCAATCTATAGGTAACATGAGTAAAAAAGATGAAATGCCCATGAGTAACATGTTAGTAGTCAAAAATTTTGATGTATGGGGAATAGATTTCATGGGTCCCTTCCCATCAGCTGAAAAATATGAATATATTTTGCTTGTTGTTGATTATGTGTCTAAGTGGGTGGAAGCTATTCCTACTAGAACTAATGATGGAGGAACACATTTTATAAATAAACATTTCAGGGAACTGTTGAAAAAGAATGGAGTACACCATAAAGTAGCCACTCCATATCATCCCCAAACAAATGGGCAAGCTGAAGTAGCAAATAGGGAAATTCAGAGAATTTTGAAAAAAATAGTTAAACCAGATAGGAAAGATTAGCCCATGAAATTACAAGATGCATTATGGGCTTATTGAACAGCTTATAAAAATCCCATAGGTATGTCCTCATTTCGTCTGATTTTTGGAATGCCATGTCATCTTCTTGTGGAAATAGAGCATAAAGCATTATGGGCTATAAAAAATTTATGTATGGATGAAAAATCAGCTGGTGGGCATAGAATTTTTTAGCTACATGAACTAGAGGAGTTGAGGAATGAAGCTTATGAAAATCATAGAATATATAAAGAAAAAACTAAAACTTTTCATGATAAATACATTAGTAGAAAAAAAATTAATGTTGGACAAAAAGTGTGGTTATATGATTCTAAGCTGAAATTATTCCCAGGAAAATTAAAATCAAAATGGAAAGGGCCTTATGTGGTGGAAGAGACATATGATCATGGGGCTGTAACGATTAAAGATCCTAAAAGTGATCATAACTTTAAGGTAAATGGACAGCGGCTTAAACATTACATAGAACATGAACGCCTTGCAGAAAAAGAAATTTTATTATTAAAAGAAATTCAAGAGTAAGATCAAGGAGTCCAACTGGAGACATTAAATGCAGCGCTGCATGGGAGGCAACCCATGGTTTTTATTTCATTCTATTTGAATTTTTTTTTAAGCTCTATTTTTCTTATAATTCCGCAGTACTTGTTTCTGTATTTGTTTTTTCGAAAAAGTGCAGGAGGAGGAGTGTAAGATGAAGTGGAAAATTAAAAACGAGGTTGAGGTGATGTCTTTCTGAGCTTTATCATTTATGACAACATTTTTAATGCTTAACTTTACATATATGCATGCTTCACTTGAAAATTATATTTTCTGCATATTTTGTTTCGAGTTTTCTGTGTCATTGAGGACAATGTCATTTTTAAGTTGGGGGGTGAAGTATTCATTATTAATTTATGCTATAGGACGATTAAGAACATGTGTTTGCATTAGAACAGCAACTGAAAAAATAAAAAATAAAATAAAATTTGGAAAAACTGCAACATCTATTTTCTGGTTTTTTGTCAGGAACAATAGACTGTCAAAAATAGCAGACCAAAAACAGCCCGAAATTTGAAATTCTAGAGACCCTTTTCTCACATTTCAATCCCCTAGACATATATTACTGAAATTCGAAATTAGAGCTATAAAACGGATAGTTTTGATTTATTTTTGACAAATTTATTGTTACTAAAAACAGAACTGAAAATAGAAATCAAAACTGTCAGAACTATCTAATTTAAAAATTTCTTACATCATATTGCATGTATGAAAAATTAAATCAATTAGATTAATTGATACCAAAAGATACTAGGAAGATTATTATTGAGTCAAAAGAATGATCTAGTAGCATGAAATGTTGGAATACTCCTTGGATACATGATAGATAACATGGATTTGATTTTACAGATTTTCACTTCATGATCTTGATGGATAGTATTTACTTGATGTGAAAATTTGATTGATCATTTGAGTTTAATGGAGATTTTTGCATCTTGATCTATAGGACTTGTGAGGAGAAATCACTTATTTCGAAAAAAAAAAGAGAGAGAGCAATGTGAAAAATCTAGAAATGAAGAGTACACATGGAGGGTGTGAGACATCATTCTCATTGTCGAAAATCGTGTATAGAAAAACACTTGCTGCAAAATAAGTGGATAAAGTGAAAGCCCTGAAAATTAAGAGTACACATGGAGGGTGTGAGACATCATTCTCATTGTCGAAATTTGTCTACAGGAAAAGATACTTATCCACTATAAAAGAAGGAAGAAATATAGTGCAAACTTCAAAAATCAAGCCATAGAAAAAGGGAAATGTAGGATCAATATTATTCTTGAATGATTATTGATAATTGGAACATCTTGTAAATATGTCTATGAGTGAAGAAGTGATAAAGATGTGAATAAAAGAAGTGAAGTCTAGATTGTTATTCCAAGGAGTGCTTAAACATTTAAGTGCTTGAGATCATTCTTAAAGACTTGATATAAGAGTCCAAAGTGTCTAAAGGTGCATCATTTCTAATTGTATTTTTATTTTTTTTGTATTAAAATATGATGTTTGAGATTTGTAAATTTTTATTTTCGTAATTCCATTGCTAAGGGACTAGCAATGATTTAAGTTGGGGGGTGTGATAAGTCTTCATTATCATGAGTTAATAATTAGTAAATAATATAGTTTTAGCTTTAACTCATGATAAATAGACTTATATTTGTGTTAAAGTGTGAAAAGTGGTTTTCAATTGATGAATGTGAATTTTTAGGTAATTATGTGATTTTACATGAATTTATATGATTTTTACAGTCTTGCTTTTGAGATAAATGAAGAAAAAGAAATAAAAATAAGACAAAATGAGTGGGGACCCGCCGGCCAGCTGGGCCCGCAAGTAGGTCAGAAGCTTAGTCGGGGAGTAGCCGCGAGCAGGGGCTCGAGCGGCTTGGACCAATAGGGGCACGTGTGCACCACTCCCCTTCCACGTCATCGGTGGCCAGCCGGCTGTGGGGCAAGGAGTGGTCGTACACGCGAGAGAAGGAACTTTACTTAGAAAGCTAACATTACTATATATTCGCCCAAAAAATCGGCGCACAGCCGATGTGGGACTAAACCCGCGTCACACCTTCCTCAAAAGGGGCGGACAACCGGCGTGGGTTCGAATCCTCCCAGAGTCAAAATTCATATATTTTTATCTGATTATCGTGACTTTCCTGCAGATCGCCGGTGAAGGATTAAGCAACGAGAATCGCTGGATCATTGGCGAAAATCTCGTCAACGCGATTCGCGGAGCATTGCTACTAAAATTGTTGAACGATTCGCGATAAAAGGATCGCGAATCCATTGAGTAAATCATCTCCGATTGATCGACGAACAAGCCGTCGTCGGGAAGAAGACAATCCGCCGGGAGACGAGTCACCACCTCCCCGATTGAGCTTCTGACCCGCTTGCAGGCCCGGCTGGCCGGCGGGTCCCCACTCATTTTGTCTTATTTTTATTTCTTTTTCTTCATTTATCTCAAAAGCAAGACTATAAAAATCATATAAATTCATGTAAAATCACATAATTACCTAAACATTCACATTCATCAACTGAAAACCACTTTTCACACTTTAACACAAATATAAGTCTATTTATCATGAGTTAAGGCTAAAACTATATTATTTACTAATTATTAACTCATGATAATGAAGACTTATCAGCGGACCTGAGGATGAAGCTCCTTGACACACGCCCCACCTCCATCTAGCTCCTCTCCGTCGAGTGACAGCCACCGGAGAGCCACGAAGTCGCCATTTTTCTACTTTGCCAGGTGACAGCCGCCGGAGACGATTCAACGACCCATTTCATTAATCTCTAGACTTCGCGAGAAGATCTAGAGATTGCCCACGTCGTCCTTGTCCAAAGAGAGCCTTCGAGGCTGTGGACACTGCACGACGATCCTCCCGAACGCTCAAGATTCCGGTGCATCGCCGACGCATCACCGTCGCGACACTGGAACTCTGTTTTCTTGCTTTTAACTTACTTTACGCTTCATTTAGTGATAAATTTTCTGATTTTAATTTACCAAAATATACTTTGTTCTATTACGATTCTTTCGGCTTTTACAGATCTTAATTTGATTAATTAAATCGTCTGTAATCACTTACGTAAGAATCGCCAGCGGAACTCTATTTCTGCCCGATTTGCATTCACCGGGCGCTGATGTCATCCTGACGTCTGCACCCTTATTTCCTTTTTTCGTAAATTTTAAATATATTTCCTTTTCATTTCTTAGTATAAAATTCACATAAAATAGTATTCTCTGAGGAAAATTTTGAATAATTACCAGATATTATATTACATCCCTGTGATCGACCTGGAAAATTACCGCTATTTTTTGAACTTTTATTGAATTATAATTGATATATTTATTCAGAAATACTTCTAGATATCTGAAAATTTGTATTTTCTAGTTTTATAAATTTTATATTTGCGTGATTTAATATACAACGACTAAGTCACGTCACTATCCATTTACCTTAAAGTTATGGTCACTTTTAGGATCTTTAATCATTACAGCCCCATGATCATATGTCTCTTCCACCACATAAGGCCCTGTCCATTTTGATTTTAATTTTCTTGGGAATAATTTCAGGCTAGAATCATATAACCATACTTTTTGTCCAACATCAAATTTTTTTCTACTAATGTATTAAGTAATCTTTTTATTTCAAAAAAAGACTCAACATTTCTCATCAAAATTAAAAGGCCCATCTTTAGATAATAACATGGTGAGAGGTTTAGAAATTTTCAAAAACTCTTGAATAAATTTTCTATAATAACCTGCATGACCCAAGAAAGATTGAATCTGTTTTATTGAATTTGGAGGTTTCATTTTAGATATAATATCGATTTTTGCTCTATCCACCTCTAAACCCCTTTCACTCACAATATGATCCAACACAACTCCCTCTCTAACCATAAAATGTGATTTATCTCAACTCAAAACTATTTTTTTTTCAATGCATTTCTCAAGTACATGCTGTAAATGATTTAAGCATTCATCAAATGATTCACCAAAAATAGAAAAATCGTCCATAAAAATTTCCAATTATTTTCTAGTCATATTAGAAAAAATAGACAGCATACATCTTTGAAATGTGGCTGGAGCATTACACAAACGAAAAGGCATGCATTTAAAAGCAAAAGTACCAAATAGACAAGTGAAAGTTGTTTTTTCTTGACCTAAAGGGTTTATGTAAATGTGATTATAACTAGAGTATCCATCTAGAAAACAAAAAAAGTTTTTTCTAGCTAATTTTTCTAGAATTTGATTAGTAAATGATAGAGGAAAATGATCTTTTCTAGTAACTGAATTTAATTTTCTATAATCAATGCAAACCCTCCAATTCGTAGTTAATCTTGTTTGTATTTCATCCTCATTTTTGTTTTTTATAACAGTAATCCCTGATTTTTTTGGCACCACTTGTTTAGGACTAATCTATTTGCTATTTGAAATAGGATAAATAATATCAACAATCAGCCACTTTAATTTTATTTTTTTTACAATTTCCATCATGTTAGGATTTAATCTTCGTTGTGGTTCCCTACTAGTTCTAGCCCCTCTTTTAGATATACACTATGTATGCATACACTCATATCAATGCCCCTTAGATCATCCATTTTCTAGCCCATAGCTTTCTTATTTTTTCGAAGTACATCTAATAATTCTTCTTTTTGTTCATCACTCAAATCAGTTGCAATAATAATAGGAAATGAATTATTTTCCTCCAAAAACATATATTTTAAACTACAGGGAAGAGGTTTCAACTGTAAATTCAGATGATTTTCCCCTTTCTTTTCTCCCAAATTTATATTCTCTATTTCCTCTAATTCTTCCAACACACAATCATCAATAACATCTGGATCATCAAAATCATCTAGAAGTTCTATGGTATGACAATCATATACTTGGGATTTCTTAAGATCATTTGATACCTCAAAAATTTTAATTTCTACTGATTGATCTCCACATAAATTTTTCACAATACTTGTGAGAAAATCAATATTCATCTTTGCTGTATGCAAAAATGGTCTCCCTAGGATGATTGGTGTATTATAAAACCGTCCATTAAAATTCATTCCCAACACTACAAAATCAACTGAAAATTTACACTCTTTAACTATCAATCACATTTTCTAAAATACTTTTAGGATATTTTATGGATCTATCAACAAATTTTAAGGTAATAGTAGAAGGTTTAAGATTAGAAATATTAAATTTATCACAAATACTCGCATGTAATAAATTAATACTAGCACTGGTGTCAAGTAATGCATTCTGAAAAATGGATCCACCAATATCACACAAAATTAAATGGGCACCCATATCTCTCAATTTATATGGTAATTGATTTAATAATAAAGCACTAGCATGCATAGATAATGTTTCTAATCTAGGTGCCTTTTTTGGTGTACATATTTCTTTCAAAACTCTAGCATATTCAGGAATATGTTCAATGGTAGTGAGTAAAGGAAGACTAATTTGTACATCTTGTAAAATTTTCTTTATTTCTTTATTGTGTTCCTTTTTCTTTCTTTGTCTAGGCTCTAGAGCTTTAGGAAATGAATGATTGTCCTCTCTTTCGAAATTTCCTCAGTAGAATCTATAGAATCCTCTTCTACTCCTATTTGATTTTGTTTTGGGCTGTCCACGTTTTTCTTTTCTTCTAATATTTGGGGATAAGGATCAGGTAAGATCTTACCACTCTTTAATGTATTCAATGTCCTAACATTTTCATTTCGTAGGTTTTTTCTTAGATTCATACTACTAGACTCCCCTTGCTGAAATCCTATTATTAGGCGGTTCCCTGGATTTTCTATGGGCTGACTAGGTAGTTGTCTCTCTTCTCTCTTATTCCCAAGAGCCTCTATAATTTGTTTCTGATGCAGCATCATTTGATTCATAGTTTGTTACATCATTTGGCTCATTTGCTGTATCATTTCCATAGAATCAGGTTGTGTTCACCAATGATCTGTAGGAAAGTCACAATAATCAGATAAAAAATATGAGTTTTGGCTCTAGGAGGATTCAAACTGCACCAGTTGCCCGCCCTTTCTAGGGAAGGTGTGATGCAAGTTTAATCCCACATCGCTTCTGCACCAAAGTTTCTGACGAATATATAGTAATATTACATTTGCAATCAAGTCCTTTTCTCGCGTGTGTATGACCACTCCTTGCCCTATAGCCGGCTGGCCACCGGTGACATGGAAGGGGAGTGGTGCACACGGGCCACTATCGGTCCTCGCCGCTCAACCCCTGCTCATGACTCCTCCCCGACTGTGCTTCCGACCCGCTTGCAGACCCAGCTGGCCGGCAGGTCTCCCCCATTTTGCTATATTTTGTTTTTTATTTCTTTTTCTATATTTATCTCAAAAGTAAGACTATAAAAATCATATAAATTCATATAAAATCACATAATTACCCAAAAATTCATGTTAATCAACTGAAAATCACTTTTCACACTTTAACATAAATATAAATCTATTTATCAAGAGTTAAGGCTAAGAATATATTATTTACTAATTATTAACTCATGATAATGAAGACTTATTAATACTCAATATAGAGAAGAAGATTTAACAATGTCAAGTTGTTCTGTGAAATGAAAATCTGCTCATTTGATCTTGTTGTGCACTTGTTATTCCCTTCCTATAAATATGTAGAGCCCTTAGACAGTCATAAAAAGTTTCAAACTTTTTTTGACAATGCTTGTTTCTTTATCTAGTGACATTCTCAAAGACTATAACATATGTATATGTGAGAGATATTAAGGTATAAAAAAATCTGAAAACAGCAAACACTATATTTGAACTATGCTACATCTCTTAGTATATGGAAACAAATTTTGAAGGATGTGAAAACTCATTCTTGATTATTTTTTATTTTATTTTGAGTTGTGGTGTGTGGACTGGTTGAAACAGTTGTAGCATATCATCAACGTAATCACATTGATTATTGTATTTGAACTAATGGAGACATGTGTTGCATCATCACTATAGTCACATTGGTCATTGAGGCACATGTATGTGTATGCAATGAGGAAACTTAGGAGCGTAGCAATTCTAAGGGTCATAGGCTCACATAGTTTGGGAATGAGATTATTAAACCCCGTAAAATTAAGCATATTCTTGTGGTGGAATAATATAATTGAGTTGCATTCCTGAAAAGTGAATATACGCTGATAGAGTTTGGCCAAACCATTATACAATCTTTTGTGAATGAACTTCTTCTAAATTGTTTCATATTTTTATATTAACATAGAGAAATATGCAACATATTAAAATATAGTGAAACAAAAAATAAATATGTTATACTTAACTAAAAAAAATGAAAAATCAATTCATCCACCCCCTAAATTTGTCTACCCAATTAGAGACCTACATTCTCCCCCCTCCCCCTCGTAAACCTCTATCCCTCAATTTCTCCATCTCTTTTTGCAAAGTGGATCAGAAGGTGATTTGGTGAGTTTGGGAAAATGTTGGAATAAATTTAATGACAAGAAATAAAAAATGTGTATTGGAATAATGATTTTGATATATTATAAAAAATAATCATGAGAATCTTGAGTATTTTATAGCAATTGTTTTAGCTTTTTTCATGTAACCTTTAACCTAAATAAAAAATGTTTCCTCATAAGTTTTTCGCAAATAGAGGCATATCATATAAAATTTATTTGATGAGAAAACGTGAAATGTATCTTCAGAATTTGATCAATTAGTCCCCAATCTTCACCTTAAATGCTTCAACTAATTGAAAATGGTACTTAAGATATTGGAAGGTGGCTGAAAGGAGGTTTGAGGGTAATAAAATTTAGAAACGAAAGTATCAGAGAAAATTCTAAGCAGCTTTAGATATTTGAAACCAAAAATGGTATTCTCTAATTAACTAAGCTAAGCAACAAGAGCACCTCTTAAAGAAATAATATCTAAATATATCTATACTATTTAGTTGTTTATTTAATACTCATATTTTTTTGTTTTAAACTCCTATAAATGAAATAAAGGGGTGATATTTTCAACTCCATCTTCCTAAAACATGGAATAAATTTTACAGAAATAAAATTTAATTTAAGATTATTTAGTACTTTCCTAATTGATTTATATAATTTCTATTAGATTAAATTCTTATTCTAACATCTATGAAAAAAAATATTATAGTAAATCTATAGAAAGGAAAATTCACTCAAAGAGACCTCATATATATCTATTCAAATAAGCGTATTGGTCTATTAAGTGTCATGTTTTTTTTGTAAAGAGCCTTATTGATTTGATAAAGGCAGCATGAGGAACTAAAAGAGAGGTGAACATGACCTTTTTTATGATCAAACTAGTATTTTCCTCAAATTATTCTCAATAGTCTTCACACACTAGGCTTATAGTGGTTTGGTCAAGCGAAATTACTTTCCTCATATTATTATCAATCCTTTATTTCCTTTGTTGGTTGAACTCCAATCTCCATATTCTACATTAAGGGCTGCCTAGTAGTTTTTAACATTAGTTACAAATCTCGCCATGTGTTGTCACATCAGTACCAAAATTGAAGCTTCATAAATTGTCAAATAATATTATAGCCTTCATCACAAATAGAAATATTTGATTTTTTATGTGGTGTTTATTACATTGTGAATTTATTTCAAATATATTTCCAATGTATACACATTTCTATACTTGTGTATAGAACTAAAAAACCCAAGTGCTACACACTTGCAGTACTAGCTCAAATCAACAATGTTTAAAAGATCGTTGAAATGAAACAATCTAAAAGTAAATAAATTGTTTAATTTTGCACGATTTGATAGAGAACTTTTTATAGAACTCTCCTTCCTTGCTTGGAAGGGGAAAGATAATTAATAGACTAAGATTTAAGGATCTTAGGGGATTAGATATGGAACAATTTGGAGCTTAACATGGAACAAGTTAGTTAATCTCTTGTGTTTCAATTCAATAAAGAGACCGAAAATTATAATCCTAGAGTTTACAATGGTTAATCAATCACCCATAATAAAAAACGTTTAACGTAACCAATATGCTTGAATACACCAATAAGAGTTTTACAACGATCAGTTCCATCAACATCAACACGAAGAAAGAGGATTTTGCGGTGCCTTTTACTATGCTAAGTAGTCTAGGGAAATGGCGCACAAACCGGTGAATCAA